ACTTATAGAAGTTTAACGTTTTTTAATTTTAGTTATACTATAGTTCTTAAATTAGTAAATAAAAAAAAAAAAAAATAATATATATATATATATTTATCAGGAAAGGCCAAAAATGCCTGAAAAGCAACAGAATTTTTCATCACTGGAAATAACAGATCTAATCTTTGGATTCTACAGCCATTTTTTCCATTATGTAATTTATGTTTTAATTACTGCTTATAAAATGCAAATGTTAAATTTTTACACATAAAACAACTGGCAAACATATTAATCCAATTATTGTAAGGCCATACCAGGTGAGACAAGACTCCAAGTTTTATGCATCGAACTCCTACTCTGCATAAAGCACTTCTGACACATTATAGCACATTGTCCATAAAGCAGTAACATTTTTTTCCACAGGTGCATTTCTTCTTTCATTCATGATTACAATTTAGAATATTTCCCATGTGTTCAGTGCACAGCATGCTAGCATTTTTATGTGTCAATTTCACAAGCCACGGAGTCCTGAATTGCCTAGTCTAGTCAATTTGACCGACCACGTGACCTCTTTGTACTCGTTCAAGTCTTTATAGATTTAATACTTCTAATTTTTTATATAGTGTGTATATATTCACGAAATTTGGCTTTCTTTCAGAAAACATTACTAGTCTTTCACCTACAAAAAAATCATATTTTTTCATATTGATTATGAATGAGTTTCTCATGCTTCAACAACATTACACTCCACATTATTTCATCAAAGCACTCAAAAATTTAAAAATTGATTTCTTTGCAGCCTTGGTAGTTGATCAACCAAAGTTTTTGCAAATGGAGTAAATAACGATAAATTACAGTTTCTGACCACCCCTGGTTACCCATTAGGCCCCTTCTGGACCTGAAAGTTTTCAAACTAAAATACCTACAAAGGAATTTTGCTTTGTTTATTTTTTTTGCCATAGACCCCCAGATTGCAATATCCCAACGGATCTTCAAGCATCTTTGTTCACGGTTTCGCCGCTCACTAGCATGTGTCCCTTGGGATAGCACAAACAAATAGAGGTACCTTAGCCACAATAGCTTTGAACCAGGCTATGAACCACCTGAAACACATCATCTTGAACATACATCGCTTGATCTGTATACACAATATACACACACACAAACATGTACACACCATTTGTTAGGCATAATAGGCTATACATGCTGTATACATTGTACACCAGAGCAATTATCACACATCTCTTCGAGCTAAACATTTGTTGCATGGGCATTAAGGGGCCACACAGGCTACCTAGCAGACACTTGGCTCCCAGGCCCTCACTAATTTCGAAACCTGATGTCTAAATAATATTCCCAGCACACAAGTTGTAAATCCATTGGTGAATGTGTAGCTCATGTTATCCTACTGAATGATGTAATGCACAGACTATTTTTAATTCACTTGCAAGCATACCCTGTGAAAAAGTTTTATTTTATTTTTTCCCTAATCTAAACTAAAATGTTTCTAATTTGTATATTCTAGTTACTTTTATAATAATAAATAAAGAATACACATGAAAAACAAGAAACAGTACTTACCCGATTCTTCATTTTTTATTTTTCCTGTCGATTGTCGATGAAACTTAATCCTACTTTTTTGTACTAATGGTACTGCTGCACCAAATTTTTTATTTAATTATATAATGCAATAAAGAATACAGAATAATAACGTGTGAAAAGCAGACAATATCCTATAACTATAAAAATTTTCTGGCTTTTTAACTGTGAGACAAAAGCCATTCAAATTTCAACTAAGCTCCTCGATATGTTTCCCATGGGAATAAAGTTTGAACTGGAAGTGAAACAGACAATTCTCTGTACAGAAAACAATGTAATATAATATGTCAATTGATAGATTGAAACCTTGGCTTTCTGCTGGTTATAAATAATATTGTACTAAACATCAGAGAGAACTATTGCCAATTGGTTTTGGCAAGAGGGATCTGATTTTCTAGTTTATGGCTGTGTATCCAAATAAAATTGAAGACTATAAAAATCATGCTTTGCCTGAGTAATAGGAATATTATAATGAGTAATTAACATTAAATTTCATACTTTTCAGAGAAGTGGTAAATAAATTAAAGAAGAGGGGATACCTAGAGAGCAAATGCCACAATTCTCATACCAGGGAAAATTTAGGATTTTTTTATATTGCCTTATAAAATTAAGAACTTAAAAACTAATAATATCAATAAAACTAATAATGAATTTTTGAAATTGGTAATGACCAGACTTGTAAAATTTAACTATTAGCATGTATTTTTAGTAACTTTCTTGTTTCTGAAGTTGACAAAATAGCAAATATTTTACCCAAAACCTGGAATCATTTTCTTTCCCATTTGCAGTAGAGCTTTCTTCTATCCTTACATGTTACACAAGAATTAATTTTTTTTATAGTGGCTCAAGTCAGCTGAATGCTTGTGGAGGTAGTATGAGACTTGTTGCTGTCATTTAGTTATGGTATTATATTATTTGTAAACACTAAAAGGTAACAAATTAATGTTATGATCTTCCATGTGTTATGTACCTTACTTAAGAAATTGTCTTGACAGTTAATTTTTTGTACAGAATAATTCTATTTTTGCAAATCAATCCCAAAACTAAGCCATTCAATGTCTAGAATCTTAATTTTCCCTCAGTCAAAGGTGACATCATACCTTTTTGAATATGTTTGATATATGAAATGGAGTGAAATACTTACTATATATATCACTTTTAACACTTAAGACGATTTTCCTTTGCACCATTTCTTTCACCAAAGTGACCTAATATAAGCATCATTAGACCTACTGTGATACATGCATCAAAACTAGCTATCACCTAAACCATTACATAACACACATATAACAAATGAGCAAACAACTATCTTATATAACGGTTTTCATGTATTATAAATCATAAGTTGATATACAAAATGAAATTTATACTTCAAATGGTATCACACATATCACACAATGTGTTAAAAATGTGCTTCTGATTTGGCAACATCTATATTACTAATGTTTAGTAGTAAAAATACAAAACTGGAATTATATCATACTTCAGCATGAACAGGGTTAATCTATCATTCAGCTTTATTCCTAAACAATAACAGGTTGTGTTAAATTTTGCCATTTATTATTTTTAGTTCAAAAATGAATTGTCATACTAATGCAAGACAACACTGTTCTTATGAAATCCTTAAAACTTACTTTGTTTCTTCAACAGTCCAAGTACTTGCTTCAACATCAATATTATTCCACAGTAACCCTTGTAAAACTACTTTTCCTCTAATTTTGACCTCCATGCTAGAAAGATGAAAATCAACTTCGATATCACCCTTGGTGATGGTTTCTGGTATCTTAAATACTACAGTAATGTCTTCTAAGGACTGAATGTACGTGTAAAGAGGGGGTGTAGATGCTGAAAAATCCATTAAAAATGCATTTCAAACAGATAAAAGAGAACATATAACTTTATAAGTTTATAAGTTATTTCTATCAAAATATGCTTCACTAAACAGTCTGTAATCACTAATTTAAACCAAATTATTTTTATTTTACCTTTCAGAAAATATTTTACATTTTTAAGAACAATCTTATCTCTATATTTAAAGTGTTTTACTTTTAATAGTATAACTGTTCATATGTGAAGACAATATATCAATGATAAAGACAGTTAATGATCAATATGTTAGGGATGTGTCATAAATTAAAAATTAGGTTTATTTAAATGAAATATGGATTTTGATAAGTTCTGAGTTTCGTCACTATAGCCTTAATGTAAGCACATTTCAGTTATACAATACCAATTTTTCATTAAGCGCAAATGAAAACCTTTTAAACTTCAAGTTAAATCTCTACAAATTTTTTGAAGAGTGAGTTTTAGAATAGTTTTTTTTATAAACTATTTTTTTATTTCAGTTTAACAAACACTTTAAATACATTTTGGCATGTTTCCTAAATAATAAACAAAGTACTAGAAATGTCTATAAAAATTGTACACAAGCTAAAACTAAATGAATAATTGAATCTCACGTTTCAGATCTCCAACTTTTTCCACTTCATCCTTGTCATTCTGTTTCTGAGAATCATAGATGAAACTAAATTCCCTTTCTGAAGCTAAGCACAAAGCACCACCAGCTGGATCAATGGCAGCATAATTTGGAAAAGAACCTCCCACTAAACGACGTTGACGTTTAATATTCCACGAAACAGTTTCACTTCCAACTGCTTAAATTAAAAACAATCTTTCTTCAACAATAACAAGAAACTAAACTCTCTCCATAAGCAAAAAAACAATCTTTTTTCAACAAAAAACTAAACCTTCTCTACATGTAGCAAAACGATCTAACTGAAGATGTTATGCTTGTTGATAACAATGACCGTATTTCATAGATAATCCAATTTCTCACAAATTTGTTTTATTGATTTTGTTGCATTGTTTATCTTTAAAGTCTTTTATATTTAATTTTGTAACTAAATACCCATCTTGATGAGATTAGAACCATGTGAATTGTCCCTTTCTAACTGCTAAAACAAATGCTATGAACTTACTACCAATTCTGAGATCTAGAAATTTGTGTTCCTGATTATTAATTAAGCCTACACTACAGCTTTTTCATTGATTATCTCCATTTTTTCAATGTTATTCTTAGCAATGAAATGTTTTACTTCTATATGTTTAAAAAGTTATCCATTTATACTATAAATGAAAAATCAAGCAAAAAATAAACACCTTGGGGGTTACAAGTGCTTTATTATGTTTAGACGAAAGTCACAAACACTAATTATTTAATTTAGAGCATGCTAATTTTTTTCAATTTTTATGTATAAAACTAAATAAAGTTTATTTAATAAATTTCAACTCTGAATTTTTATCTTATTTTATTGTGTGGGAGGAGAACTACAATTTTTGTTTCTGTAATATTTCAAATTCAAAGTTGCAATTCTGCCCAAGTGTGTCACCCAATTACCATTAAACTTAAATATGGCTCATTTTAGGAATTGTTATTTTGTTAATCTTAATACATCCAAACTTGGATATGAACAATAAATGGTCTATGAAAGTGACTATGCTGGAAAAACGTTTCATAAATCTGCTACATGATCTAAAACAACAATGTAAATATGGATGAAATAGTCTGAAGTAATTTTATATGGGTGTTTTATAATCAAACTATAGATATAAATGACCAAACCTGAAGAAAATGATATCCACTCTAACACACAAACAAAATGCATGGTTGTTTCTGAAAGCTTCAAGTTTCCTTCCACATCTTGAGGTCTAGAAATATGTGCTAGTAAACACTCTACTTGGTGACTAGAAGGAAAATTATAGTGTACACTATGAAGCAGGTGGCAAGGTGGATAGCAGCTCTCTACGTGGTAAGTATGACACAACTGGATTTAAAAAAAAAAAATCACACACATACAAAAATGAGGAAGCGCTTAGAGTATGAATTATTTATAGTAGTATTGTATGTTTCAGAAAATTTTAAGGACTTAATGAAAATTAATATACAAGATATTGTAATATGACACTTAATTTACTGATAAATTTGCTGGAAAACATGACTAAAATAACTTGACATTTCAAAGCGTATTAATACAATAAATTTTAATTTAAAAATATTTTATGATATTTAATATAGATCCTAGGGACTCTTTTATTCTCCACTTTTGAAATAAGATACATCTTTACAAAATCCTTGGAAAATAGTACCTGGCTTAAATTATTAATTTTAACAGACTTCAAGATGTGAAACTTCTGCCATATTAGAACAATAAAATTTTTACTACAGTCTACAGTGAATTTCATTTAAAAATTAAAGAAATAATTCTTATTTAGAATCTTTGGACCACCTTACATGAGAACTCCTGTGGGCAAAGCTCTTTTTAACTAGGTAATATAAACAGTAAGCACCCACTTCTTTTTTTTTAGAAACATTGATTATCCAAAATGATGCTCAACCAGTTGCATGAGTAGATAATGATCGAAGATTCATCAAGGAGTTAAAAGGTATTAAGTTTGATTACACGTGAAAAATAATAATGATGTTTACCACAAATTAGGCACAGAACCAGAAACCTGTTAAAAAGTTTTTTTAAATCTGATAAAAACTATCTAATGAAAAACAGTAAAACTGCAGTAAACATTGGAAACTTTTGCTTCAAAAATCCAATTATCACTTACAGGCATGCTAATGTGCAATTAAAATTAACATTGTAAAGTTTTACAGGCTTTAAAATGAAAGCTTTATCTTGCACATATTTGCCAGTATGCATCAGTTTGCTTTAGAATTGGAAAAAAATAATATTCCATACCTGCCTTTGAAAAGTCTCAGTTTGTAAATAATTGGTCAGTACTTTGCCACAATGAAAACTCATTTGTACAAGTATTATCTCATTATTTCAGTAAGTGACCAATTTGCACTTATGTAGTTAATCATTACAATTATAAACACTTGGGTGTAGTATGTTATATTTCCTGAAATGACCAGTTTGTATGCTAACTGGTATGTAATTTTGATGACTGGAACATGAGTTAATGACTTTTATGGGCTGGAACCCAGAACCAGTCAAAAGTTCAATCTCCTATTATCATCTCTGATTGGTGCAAAAGTTGTTTGATTTTTTCAGTATATTTTGATTAATAAAACGACATGATAATGCTATGGAAGATAATGCATTAGACCAGTAAGACACAAAAGACAATTGTTATTTTTATTTTATTTTTAAGAATTTGATTGACCTTATCCCTATCTCAAAAGTTTTTCATCTGATTTGAACAAACCAGTTGGAAGGCCAATTTTACAGTTAAAATAACAGAAATCCACCAAATTTCAAATTCCAACCAGGTTTTGTTAATGCATACTTTTTCCCGATATATTGTTTGTTTTTTAAAGTTTTTTTTTTCTCAACAAAACAAACTGAAAAACAGCTGTACATATTTATGTAATTATCATGAATGACTGTTGTATAATTGTAGAAATGAAATACACTTTTTTTCAAGATACCTGCCAGGGTTCACCTTCTGTGCGGCTAGGAGTGCTGAGAAGATATATTCCTCCTGCTCCATCACTGACTACTGTCCAGTCTGCACAAGGAAAGCTTATAGTTGTATTTGCATTTGGTCTACTAGAATCTGATGGTAGTTGCCAAACAATTCGTGGTTTGGTAAGTTTTCCATCCTATGTGTATTAAGAACATCAAACTAAGAATTAATTAAAACACTTGAAAACTACTGAAATACAAAAATAACGATTATTGTTTTTAATCTACAAAATTTATAAAAAAAAATAGTATGATTGGTTATCAGAGTTCAAAAACATTACTCACATACAGTTTTTTCCTTACAGTAGAAATTATAAAAATAAATACTAATAGCATCAGATATAAAAATTAGAATACTATCTTTAAGCGAGGAAATGTTCATGCTTTTTTTTTTTTTTTTTGAGTTTATTAAATTCTACTTATGAGACCCTTGAAAATTAGTTTGGAACCCATGAAAAAAAAAGTTGAGAGTCCAGGACCCTAGAAAGAATAATTGTCTGAGTCACACTATGTTGTCAACTCACAAATATGTCTTGAGTACAAATACTTTTCTAACACATCTAATTTTTTTATGTACAATACACTTGTACATTTTACTTAAAACTTGCCATGTTCCTTCTTCAATATGGGTTCAGTCCAATGGACCAACCTCCTGCACATTCAATTAGCTTGAATTGCAATAAATATGTGCTAAAAGTTTACTATTAAACTAGTACAAATGATTCTTGCTGTTTTGGAATCAGTTATGTTCTTGTTGTTATGTATAATTAGTTGTAATGCTTATTTTTACTTACTATGCTAACCTGGAATCAACAGTTAAATTTACAAAGCAGTAAGATACTACTAGTTGATTGTTCAGCTTAGGTTGTAGGTTACAAATTGCTTCCTTTTTTCTTAGGTCCATTCATTTTTCGCTGAGTCTATTATTCTAAAGTGTTCACTGTTCGGTTTTTTGTTACAGTCTTAGGTGGTTGTAAATTCCAGAGTTAATGAAAGGGCTGTTACGTGCATGCTCCTTGATTCTGGTAGCTAAGGTTGAGTTGTTGACTCAATACAGACTTGTCTGCAGCAAAGATAAAAATATTTGTATACTACCAGCAAAACAGGAAAAAATGGAAAATCCATTTGTTTTGTTTGGAGATTAGTCTTAGGCTGACTTGGGGATAAGTTTATTATAGAATGCTTTTTATTTTACTTATTAGTTTGATGCCGTACAACCCAAAAATTCCTGACCTCAAATAAACTGAGCAATCAACTAGCTATGTCACTGCATCTCACACTATGATCAACTCATCATGCCTGAGATTGGCAAGGAGTGAAAACTTCATCCAACAAACAAATGTCAATATCTACTGAAATGGAAAAAAAACAAATTCTTATGAGATTCCAAAATTACTTAATCCCCCTTTTTAAATTAACAATTTTTACTAACCTTGTATCATATATAACTAACAGAAAAGCAAAGTTTAATATAAAAAAGGACACCATAGGTGCATGGCCAGGTAGATAAGATTTTTTCTTTAACCCTCTCACTACAGATAGATCAAAGGGTGCACATCATGACATTTCAGAGAGTTATTTTCAAAATTTAATTAAACAATATTATCATAATTGTATACCAGTGGAATTGGTAACACAATATAGTTTATAATTCAAAATTAAATATAATATGTTTTAATTTCATAATTCAAAAGAAAATATTTAAAAAAATTGCTAAATATGCTTTTTTAGGGATTAATGAATTAGAAACACAAATTTCAAACACTGGCAAGCTAAAATACAAAATAAGAACCTCCCACCTTTTTGATTTGCTGAGATATCTATATATTTTGCAAACCTACCAGGGTAGCCCTCCCACTACTCCATTATTTGAAACCTTTTGTCTACTCATGCCTACTTATTTTAAGCACGTTTATAACCAACAGAAAGAACACATTACAAACTAAAAAAATCTTACAGTTATTTGTAATGGGCTTGAAAAGAAAACTTGTAATTTGACTGGAAATTGTGAAGTCTGTTGTACAAGCCTTATCTCTGAACAAAGATAAGATTTTCTTTAACCAAGATACAGCTTTGTCAGGAAGCCATATAAATTACAGAGGTTTTATGTGTACCATTATGGTAATTTGATAATTTTTGGTTTTCTAAAGTTAACATTTTCTTAAACTGCAAATGTATTTCCAATACATATTTACCTCCTCTCACAAAATAGCTTTTCTCTATTAATACTGCCCTCTACCTTCACAAATTTTCAACACTAGCCTTCCATCTCCTGCTTCTACATATCCCCATGTAACTGATTATGCAGCAGCTCTCCACCAATAGGAATGCAACAGAACCCCTACTGTAACCAGCACCCTCTCCATATTTGCACTTGTTAATCACTTCAAGATTTGTCAGAAGACCCACACCACATATCACTGGAAGTGGGGAGGCTGGGTGGGAAATGTGCGGGGATGTAAGTATCTATCAGGAATAAATTTTCAGTTTAGGAAAATGTTAACTTCCAATACAACTTACCTCCACTCACAAAATAGCTAGAATCCCACACTGAACTGGTGGAAGGCCAGTGAAAAAATTATCCCCCTTTAAGATGCACCCAAAGAGAGACCATGAGGAACATCTCACCCTGAGCAGCTAACTGCAAGATATATATATATATATAGTCATGACATGGTGGAGTGCTTCAATCAAAACCTGGCACTTTCTGGAATGGTACATTAGGTCCATGGAAGGAAGGGCATCATGCCGCCTGCACGTGATTCTAATCTTGACTAAACCATCTCCAAACAACACTAGATCCACTAGGAATGTACAGAGGATGGTAGAAAGGAGAAATGGGAAAAAGCAATTTGCCAGATATATATCAATACAGCATAGTGCTACATCCAAAACCTGGGAATTGTACATCAGGTCTGTGGTAGGAAGTGCTATATGCTATCAACATTCACGGAATGTCACTGCCCTACTTTGAACTGAGTGTTATGATGCATTACTCAGGAAGACAGGCCTCCATGGTCCACCATCCAAGCAGCTAGGAACTGCTAAATGGTAAGGACTCCCATACTCCATGAGAAAAAAGGAGGGAAAAACGTGTTGTAGAGTCTGGAGGTCCGCATCACTGGAGACAGTGCAATGGGTGACTGTGATACCCTATTTTGAAAAGCAGAGCTATTACACCGACGGAATTGATCAGCCAATAGTGGGTGGCATCTGGAATTGTACATAAGGTCTGTGGTAGGAAGACTCTCAATGCCCCAGAGCATCAGAGATGGGCAGCAATCCCTGTCTGCTTTACTCAAGGTGCCCATGAGTGTATGGTCTGGAACAAACATATTTATGAAGCAAAAGACCACTATAGAGAACTACTAGCAGTCCTATGGAATATCCCTATGGTGTGCATAACCTAGTTCTGCTACATAATTGTTTCGCCATAGATGACAATTGAACAGATACACAACCAACACCTGGATGCATCTGGAATTGTACATCAGGTCCATAGTAATATGAGCTACAACATAACTGACATCAAGCATGGTCACAGGATGGAAAGTGCAGGTTTCCAAAAAAAAAAAAACCTGATCAAGCACCACTTGCCACAGCCTCTCAAAAAAGAAAATAAGGTATGAACAACAGATTTGACCTGAGAGAAAGTCAAAAGTAGCCAGTCGTCCATGTAATGGTGGAAATGAAGGCCTCTGGCATGAAGCAGCTGAGTGAATGACCTGACTACTCGGCAAAAGGAACCAAGGCCAGGCCAAATGATAGAGCCTAAAAGTGATAAACATGCCACTGATAATGAAAATGGAGGAAATGCTGGGATGCCTGGGAGATGGGAATGTGTAGATGGGCAACCCACATGTCAACCTTCCTAATCCACAACATGGGAGTGAAACCCACCGAAGGGTAAAGTAAGACTCCATCGTGAATTGGAGTACAACCAGGGAATGGTTCAGGGAAGATAAATATATAACCAGTCACCAATCATCCATCTTTTTGGGTAAAGCTAACAGATGGGAGTAAAACCCCGGATGGGAAGTTTCCCCAAGTTCTACGGACTCTTTCCAAAGAAAGTCCCAAACTGCCTCCTGTAGACACTGGTGAGAAAAGGATCCCCTGGTGGGAGGGAAGGCAATGGGACGAGAGACAATAGAAGTGAAGGACCAAACCCTATGAAAGAACCTGTAGGACCCATGGATCTATTGAAATGGTGGTCACATATGTCGACAATGGAAAAGCCTGGCTACCACTGGTCCCGACTTTGGGACTGTGTCACTGATGCTATAATCTCTGAAATGCCTTCGAGTAACAACTCGACTGCGAATGGATGAAGAACGAGAACCCGAGACCAGCAAAGGGTAGGATAGGGGGACGAGGCACAGATAGGAGGAGGTTGGAATAAATGGGAAACTAACGAGGATAATGAATTATGCATACAAGCAGATTGAACTTGGGCCTCCATTGAGTCAGTAAAAACCCCCAAACACCTCTTCACGTAGAAAAGGTGCTATACACAAGTTGTGCAGGGAAGTGGTGGGTAAAATACTCGAGAAAGAATGGCATCCCAACCTAGAAGGTCCCAATGGAATATCAGCCACGTCTGATTGTCAAAGACGAAAGACATGTCATTGTCGTAAACAGAAAACTGCAAACATCATCTTAAAACCCTTCAGGAGACAAGTGAATTGCCTGAGCCATTAAGTGCATAGTTGATAATGCATGCAAAATTGTGGAAAACATCAATCTGATATGGCAAAATTGAGGTTGCGATGCATCAGGGTTCAAACTCCACAATATAATGAGAGATTACAAATGTCGGAAATCAAGGTAAAGGAAGGAATATCTAAGAAATTCATAAGCATGATCTTCAGAAGTACAAGGCAGATGAGGCATACTAACCCTTGACCAAAGTTGATCCCCAACATCAAGTGAGAGAGGAATACTAAATATTGGCCCAAAGAAGGTGAAGGAGGTCTGGGTAAATCCTCAATACCGCTCGTGACTGGGAAGAATATTCTGGGTGTAGACTGTCCAAATTCTTGTCCTTCCTGTCAAACACCCCAGGAGCAGGCATAATCATTTACACGTGGGTATGCAGAAGTTGGAAATGCAAGGCTAGTGGCAGGCATTGAAAATATGCACCGATAAAGGGCAGTACTAATCGAGAAAAGCTATTTTGTGAGAAGAGAAAAGATGTCGTATTGAAAAGGCATTTTTGAAGTATACAAAATGAATTTGTTTTTCCTCTTCGTTTGAGAGAATAAGACCAGGCTTACAAGGCAAGACTTAACAATTATGTTGTAAGAGTACAAATCAACTTCGTAATGTCATAAGCACCAGAAATAATTGTTTTTTTATACTGTTCTATGTTTTAACAGAAATAACTAAAAATTAAGCATTTATGATTAAATAGTAATAATAATATATATACATATTCATAAGCACTTACACACTCTGTACATCTATACTGCTAAATTCCAATCACCCAGGAGGATAACTAACATCCAAATACCTACAAAGTTTATTAGATCGGTCCAGATGTTGTTCAAAGCCATATCATAAACATTCTCTCACATTTTTATTACTTTAAGCAATTCTCATTGCAATAACTGTACTGTAAACAAGCTGATAAATTCTCTCCCACTGTGTTACTTGAGCCGGGATTACAATAAGTCCTGTGGGAAAGTCCTATTAATGGTGCTACATGAGCTTATTTGCTATCAGCAGTATCACATAAATAGTCTAGTGACAGGAGTGATGATTCATTGCTTTATGTTCGGCGAGTTTCTACTTCAGCTGCTAACAGTAAAATAAGCATATGAAATAGGTGTGAAAAGGTCAGAAGTAGAAACTCTCATGACAAAATACTTTGGAACTTTATAGTCAATGCTAAAAAGGATAGAACAGTATTATTCACTTTATTTTGCATTTTTCAACCTTTAAAGTTTTATGGTGGTTACAAGGTCAGTCAAATTGACCAACTTTTTATAGTTAGTGCTGAGAAAATAACAGGTAAAAATATTTTCTGAAAATTGCAAATAAAATTTGATTTCTTTTCAGATGTAGTATTTTTAATCTTAACACAAAAATCACTCTTCACTTGGAGCAGTCAACACTCTGACTCCATATACTCAGACAAATTTTTAGCAAAAATACTTATTTAAAAATTCTGGTTTTATGTCTGCAAATGTCTTGTAGTATTTAATAAAAATGTGAATAACTATGATGGCCACTTTGGGGTCACGTGATTGGTGTAATCCACCAAGACAGTAGCAAAAGAGTTAAAGGAATCAAGAGATGAGAAAATAATTGAAGCAAGTATGAACTGGAATTGGCATGCAGAACAGGAACAGCAGGCTTCAAATCAAACTGGAATTTGCTGGGAATTATCCCACAGTGATGATAAGGTTGGAGGATACAGTACCAATAACAATGATGATGATGATGATAGAGGAGTAATTGGAAAATCATCATCTTCTAAGCCTAAAAACAGGTTAAGAAGAAATATTATCACTCCCAATTTAACAACAGCTATGGAACAAAAACAAGCTGAGTGACAGAAAGGAAGCATTTGTCCCTACTGCCACAGCTCACAGTTTTGGTTATGATGTACAGGAGCTATCAACAGTACCTTGATCCAAAGTTCTTGACAACACTTCTATGAAGAACTTATCAAAAAATTAAAGGAACAATTCCAGCCAACAATCTCACTTGTAGTTCACTAAGATAGCAAGCTCCTTAATGATTTCAAAGGGAAAGAACAAGTGGAACAACTGCCAGTGATCCTGTCCAGAGCAGGAGTAAACCAACTCCTATGAATTTCAAAGTTGATTTTTAACACTGGAGAGGCTTAACATTCTGCTGTGGCACATTTGTTGGAAGAGTAGGGAGTCACTCATCATGTAAAAGTAGTTTGCTTTGACACAACAGCAGGGAACACTGGTCACAGAAATGAAGGATGTGTGCTGTCAGGACAAAGAATCTTCTGTATTTGGCATGCCAGCATCACATCTTAGAACTTGTTCTGATATGTATCTTCATAAACTGTATGAGACTACCTTTTGTCCAGATATTGTAATTTTCAATCAAGCAGCAATCTTGGTAATACATGAACCAGTCCAGATATGAAACTACAGCTGATCATGATGAAGTAGCAGTTACCATAAAGGAAGTTAAGGACAATGTGTCAATGAATGTGCTACAAGACAAATTCAGGTCAGCCAATCTAGAGAAGGTTGTTGAGAGCTTCTTGAACTAGCCATAGCCCTTCCTGATAGAATTTTTCCTCATGAAGTGTGATTTATAACACCTGGAGCACTGAATCATTCATGATGGATGGCCAAGATATTATGTGCACTCAAAATCTGGATGTTTATGGTACAATTTAAGCTCACTGGCTGCAAGAAAAGAGAACTCCATGACATCCACATCTTTGTTGTTCAAGTCTATCTTAGGGCATAGTTCACTGCTCCTGATACCACTTCTGTTCCTTGAAATAATCTTAACTTCCTACAATGTCTTGTTAAGTATGAGAAGGTGATTTCTCCTCTTTCAAAATCTGCCTGTCAAAAATTTGCTAGATGTCTATATTTTCTCAATGAGGAACTCAATGGTTTGGTATTCTTTGATTCAGCTGTAGCCACAGAGACAAAATAAGCTTTGCTAAAGGCACTAAATAAGAAGGAGGCCATGGGTGAATCTCCGAGGTGCACCAAGCTGGATATCAGAAAGTCTGAGAGCATGTCAAAGATTTCCTCACAAATAACATAACAGACTTTTCAAGTGCCTCAAAATTTGATCTGGATTTCTGGATTATTATCCTGAGTAATGTGGGCTCAGAGAGGGCTACAGGAAGGCACTACATACAATTCAACACTTGCATGTGGTAATGACAATAGTGAGAGGTATGGCCCCTTACTTAAGAGTATGTCATCATAACAAAGAAATAACAGAAACAATTTTATCTTCAGATTGTGCAGAATCATACAATATGCCTTCTAATAACAAAAAAGAAACAATAACAATGTAAAAGTGTATAACCACAACAAAATCACAGTATTATAAATACAAAAAAAATAATAGATAACATACTTTAAATAAATCATTTACAATACATAAAAAATATGTTTTATATCAAATAGTATATATGGTATCAGGCCACTGCAGTCTAAACTTCAACCTCATTAAGCAACCTCTAAATATGGTTCAAAATGGATGAACTTTGACATCTTTTTTTTTTGTACATTTAAACAAAGCTAGGAGGTAAGAGCTTTAGAATTTTTAAAATGAAATTTTATCTGCAAATAAAGACCATCCTAATGTACACTGTATGTCACTATCCCTAATGTATGTGAGTAAATATATGATTTCAATCATAATATAATTTCCTATCCATTACTAACAGTAAAAACCATGTACAATCTAATTTAGGAGCAGCCAACTTTAAAATTGATATACCATAGCAACAGCTAACTCTAATATGCTCAGGAGTGTTCCAAAATAGTTTTAATCTTAGCAAAATAGCAAATATTTTGACAAACAATCCTGATCAAAGTCAAAACTGATCATTGCTTTATGTTTTAAACTTAACCAAGTACTACCCAGAAACAAAGAAACCAAAGTAATTGGGACAAAACGAAAGAAAATCAAGAGCAAGATGAAAAACAGGTATGCACAAGTTGGTTCATCAAAGCTGAAAGAGTCACATTGGAAATCCTCCAAATGAAAGTGATGCATGAGAACAAACAAAGAAATTTAATACAAGAGAAGATGAGTAGAAAGAGATAAATATAGCCTAAGAAAAAAAAAAAAGAAAGCTCCCTAAAGTGAAAGATAAGATTCAGATAAAATATGCTCATGCAACAAGGGAGTCCAAGAATCTGCAAACAAATTACCAGAGAAAGAGAAATAAAAACACATCGGTGGAATCCAAGCAGTGAAGGAATGAAAGTGGGACTACCAGATCCACATCAGGAAGAGAGAATGAGAAGCAAAAGCAAGCATGGAAACAATAATTAAAAGACATGGCATATGGCAGACTCAGTTGAAATACCAGGTAGTTAGGAATTTTCAATCTGAGATCAGAAAGGAACCAACCATGTGATGATGCACAACAGTAGTAATATCCCTAACTATCAGTGTCACCAGTCACTATTACAGTATTTGATGTCTCCTGTGAAGACTGTTAAAAAAAAACCCAGGAGATGTCAGAAACATGGGAACATGAATATATAACCCAATCAGTCTACAAAATTTAAGTTATGGTAGTCCATTTTTGTAAAATACCTAGAAGTTGGATTTTTTGTTATTAATTAAAAAAACAACAAGTATGGCTGTGTGTATAAGCCTAATAATAACCTTGGAGAACACTGGACAAAACCAGTGTGTTGGATTATAAATGGGAACAGACAATAGTACATGATCAAAAGAAAATCAAACTAAAGCTAATTCAAATGAATGTTCTAACTGATTAGATTAAAATTTAGTACTTTTTTTAATATAATAAAGAAAATTATGAAAAGAAAGATTAAACAACAAACAGTAATGAAAGGTTAAAACAACAGACACAAACATTCTGGCAAACCTTGTGAAAAAAAAAACATATCTGAAGACAAGCAATGCCAAGGAAAGAAGCCTATGGTCAAATGCTAGTGTTCATAGGGGTTACAGTACATGGAGGATGTATCATCCTCCTACTGGTGGAGAGGCTATTGTTTAATGACTACAATGACACATGTAACTGTAGAAGCTTTGTTCAAGGCTTGTGGCATGTGCAGAAAATGACACAGCAATGCACCTGAGGTAATAGCTCTTTGTGGTGCAAAAAGGCAAGTAGCATTTCTAAAAAAGTGAGATTGTAAATAAACATCACCTACACATATATGTACACAAAAATGCTTCTATTAACACTTGCACATTCATAAACAACTAATATCATGACCACATACACAATTTAATTATGAAACAAATACCTGTGAAAGCTTCACCCAAAATACATGATGTGCTTCACTTGCAAAAAATACACACTCTGGAGCCCAAGAATCTTGAAACAGGTGATTAACAATACCCGCCATTCGGACATGCAAGTATCCATACTGATCATCTCCTAAGTCAACACTTTCTACACCTAAAAACCAATACAAAATGTTTTCTGATAAAAAAAACAAGTTATTTACTCCGTATAAAGATATATCTTATGGTGCAAAAAAAATATGTAAATCAATAACTTATGTGATATCTGTGTTCTCACTATATCATTCTTTTAGATACAAGGTTAAAAATTTTATTCTAAACAACATACCAGGAGGGTAAGTTATACCCTGAAATCTCTATCTAAACACTGCAAAAATTTACTCACAAGTAGTAGTAATTTACATGTTTCTTAGAATCAATTATGATAGTTTACATCAATTTGGCCTACTGAAAGAGGAATAGGAATACGAGTTAATGTTTTAACAGCTGCTACTCTATTTAATATTTTCAAGTTTATACAATACAATCAACACTGCTCTATAAACTTTGCAACACCTTAGTTAAGACAACATGTAATACTGCAGCAACTTGAGCCAAATATACTTATCAAAATATCATGTTAAATTTTCTCTATCTTCATACATAGGATTCATCTTCAATATCATTTATGGGCTTTTTCTTCTTAAAGGCCTTTAGAAAACTCATTAGGTATTGAAAAACTTAAGAGCAGGAATGGAGTGTTTCTGACTTAAATATTGCAGGTGGATGCTATGATAAATAACGAAAATCCTAACTTTCATACAATTTATTTATTTATAACATATTACAGTATTCATTATTAATTCAAAAAGTTTTAAGTAAACTTTAAGAACTCAATATGTATATACTTAAAACATGGTATAAACTGTGTGATGATCAGGGTGACTTTGTAGAAAGAGGTAGCAGCCAAACTAAAAACAGTAGTAGTGCTTTCTGTTACCTGCTTTCAATACCCAGCTCTTAATGTCCTTCTACAGTGTTTCACATGATTAATTGACAGTCACTGGCCACAGAAGTGTCTTAAGGGACAAAGTTCAAAGGTTACAGGTCAAAAAACAGCTCTTCATATCAACCTTATGGTGGCTGTTGAAGTAGAAATTTTAGCTGAGTTTATGTAGTAATGCAATAATGGTGGCCATTTTCTTTCATTGCGTTCCTCTACAGAGAGTGCTGGTACACTCCGAGATATACAAGACATTTGTGAGCTTTATCCCCATACTGTGCATGTTGTTTTATAGAAAATTTAATAATTTTTTTTGGTGTAAGGACGTATCACCATCTATGAATGTACTTAACATTAACTTAGGTCAAAGATAATAAATGTTCAATAACAGCAATAATGGGGTGGAGGGAGTTTTGAACCCACCATTAAGATCCCTCTTGCTTTAAGCTATCATCCCACAAAATGTGATTGAGAGTGGCCCAGTGACCTAGGATTAGTTAAATAATGGACAGACAGATAGACAGAGACACAGGTTTTTGTGTTTTATATGTATATAGATTTACAGTGGCATAGAAACAGTAGCAGCCATGGCCACTATACTTCTCAAGCGACTTTTTTCCCCACTTGTGGCACACACATGCCAATTCAGCCCACTTCACATGTGCGGTGTATCTACTAGCTAACAACAACTATGGTAGCTGGGCCAAAACTACCTGATGTTTCACATCAGCCTAAGCTATTTCAGTTCCCTCAGAAAAGCTATGGCACAAATACAGTGATGAAAAGAAGATTCCAACACTTTGGGTTTGATAAGTGTACTTGGCTTCACTACACTGAAAGACAAGATTCAGTGCTTTGCCAAATCTATGCCAAAGTAAACATGGAGAAAAAGCTTGAATGGTCAACTAATGCTGATACTGAATTTATATCAAAGGGTTTCTGCAACTGGAAGGATGCAACTGTAAAATTCTCCATTCATGAGTCAAACAAGTGTCACAAAGAATGTGTTTTAAAAGTTATTATTCTTCTAGCATCTAATATAAAATTTTTACCATGACAAAGAATACAATTGAAAAGCCATGGAGATGAAAAGGATTCCAGCTTTTTCCAACTAATGAAGTTATGAGGTGAAAACGATGAATGAGTATGAGTAGCAGGTTGGTTAGAAAAGAAATCCAATATGTATATATATATAGCACACACATTTAGAAAATATTTATGAAAATACAATTTTTATTATTGTTAGTGTTGTTTCATACACATCAACCATTCTTTTCACTGAATTTTTCTGAATTAAATGAGACTGACTTTCCTTGTTATCTAGTTATTGTGGTCATATCACCATTCACAATTGGCATCATTGATCAAACATTGTTCAATAAACCTAAAACCCACCCATTTTATTGAATGTAAAATATCTCACAAGGTTCAGCAAACTTACAAGATTTAGGTTAGTTCTAAATAAGTGTACTAAGTTAACTATGCAAAACAATAACTATGATAAAAGAATAATAATAATAGTAAAAAATAATGACATTTGATATATTAAATATAATAATACTTTTCAGGAAAGTAACAATAAATAAATAATATAGTATACCTGTTCTCATTACAGCACACTAATTTTCTTACCTGTTCAAACAAGCTCTTACATACAAAGAAAGTAACTATCAAAAATATGAAGAAAAAAAAGGAAGAAAACTTAATTTCTTTTAATATTATTAACCAGAAAATACCATTTTATATATCCAATGAGTTCCAACTTATTTTATTTTCATTAATTATTTCACCACAAGAATAACAGAAAACACAGAATAGTAAAACATTAACCATGAGGAAAAACACAACTTGCACTCACATTCTAGGCCTACATTAATATAAGTGAGATTTTCTAAATGCTTCTGGTCAAGCACAGTTTTTCACTCTCTCTCTCTAATAATTATAATTTGTTTTCAATAACTAAAGAGTTTATGTACTTGTTGTTTGAGTCATGATAAATTTACTAATACACACAAACAGAAAAGTTTTCTGTCATCCGTGTAGTTTGCTATTGCAGAACTCGTAGCATACTATACTCACTAATTCTCATTATCCAATGTCTTATCATATAAGAATATTTCTATAGTTTTAAAACATAGAATAACACTGTAAACAAAACAGTAGAGATGGCTACATCATCCCTACATAATATCACAGGCACACAGTGTAGTAGAATGTAATAGACAAAAATAGGATAAATTAAACTCAATTATGATTAAATAGTTATATATGTTGCTATATGTTAATTCTTTCCTGTGCTATTATGTAGGGGTGATGCAAGTGCCATTCCTACTATCTTGTTTGCATTGTTGTTTGAAGGATTGATATTAGCCATCCCTACATTTACTTCCTTTTTTGAAGTTTTTTCTTTATTTGTTTGCTTGTTTTTTAATGCAGTGTTTCAATAGATATAGGAAGGTTGTATTTATAACCAAGTTCTAACTACAATGAGGTTCCAACTGTAATATTTATTCTTTATCTATTATTAGCTGGTACTTCCTGTTTCACCCTGTGCTTAAGCTTTTTAAATGAATAACCAAATTTCACTAGAATTAGGATCTTAAAAAATTACAACTAGTTAGTAACAGAACCCTCTCGAACCAGTAGAGGACATTTTTGTTTAAAAACAAACAAACTACCCAATCTGGTTTTTCTTAATTTAAACCAACATTTTTTGGACATTTTTACTGGCTAAAAAGATGGTATTTCCCACACTCTTTTAACATTGGGGTTACAAAAGTGATTTGAAGTGGTAAGGTGACTGAAATCCGTCAGCGTATCATGAGCTTAACAGCCAAGCACAAGAAGCATGGAAGTCTCCAAATGACGTGCAGAGGTATTCAAGAACTGTTTAGAACCTCCTTGGTAGATATTGTGCAGCAAGTCAAGTACAATATTATGCCTGTAGTGTTCCTGTCTGCTCATCCTACTGCTGACTATTGTGGTGCTTCAACCTTCCCTACCAAATCACAGGTGAAATAGTTCATATCTTAATTGAAAACTAAATATAAAAAGGTTATACCATAAACAAAAAAGGTTGGCAATTGCTTAATTAATGATTCTGAGAATGTGGCTTTATTGATGTATAAATAATTTATTCCCAGTGGGTAAACTTTAGTACTAGCTAGTATGGAGACTTCAGGATGCTGTATTTCAGTTAAACATGTATCAATTAACAAATGAAAACTTGTCTCAAAGTTGTCTTGAAAAAATATGCCCAAAACTGCCCTCTTTGGGAGTTTCTGGATTGAACTAACTTTTAATATTCAACAAATTGTAGTGTAAAGACACCCTTTGGCAAGTTCTGAAAGGAAGGATGTGACAGGTGGGCATGGCAAGATGGGTTTGATTTTCTCTTTTATTACTTTGTAACTAAATAAGATTGAAGACTATGTAAATTATGGTTTGCCTGAGCAATGACAACATTATAATGAGTAATTTACATAAAATTTCATACTTTTCTGAGGGGTGGTAAAAACAGAGAAGATGGAAGATATATATATAACAAACATAACAGTTTTCATACTAGGGAAGGTTGAGAATTTTCTTAAATATTTCCTTATAAAACTAAGAACAACAAACTTAAATAATACTAAACTTTGATTTACTGTCTACGTTCTGATGGCAAGTTTATTCATTTACATTCATAATTAAGTAGTTTCATTAAGTTTTGAATGTAACTCTGTGAAAGGTTGTGACATGTGCACTTTGACCTACCTTAAGTGAAAGGGTTAACCATGTGGTACTTTCATGTGGCTCTATTTTCGTGCAATTTATTGTCATTGAAAAAACCTGTTAGAAGTTGATTGTAGACAGCTGTGTGTAAACTTTATGCTGTTTAGTTTGTTATGGTACAAAGTTTGAAGCAAAGTACTTGTGCTTGCCTTGCATATGGGGCATTTTATGGTGCGTATTCAGTGCCCGGGAGATGATATCTCATGCATAAAGGACCCAGGAGTTTGAGTTATCTAGAACTCTGATTATATACAGTTATATAGATCTGCAAATTACTCAATAACTACAGCACTTGAAATTTGTTTAATTAAGCTAAAAAATGCTGTAACATTGATACAGTAGTCCCTCTTAGATACAACTAACCTATCTGCCATGATAAAAAAGTCCCATCTGAAGTC